AACCATCATCTCCAGTGATCCTCCTCAAGCCACCACCATCTCCGATGATCCTCCTCGAGCCACCACCATCTTCGATCCTCCTCCAGCCATCACCAACTCCGATCCTTATCAAGCCACGGTGGTGCCTGCGAGCCGCTTCTCAACGATCTTCAGCTTCTTCACAACCCTCTTGGGTTGCCTCTCGGGTTCTCCAGCAGATCCGGTGGATGAAGTTCCCGAGACTGCCGTTCCCAAAACCACCGGCGGCGGCACCGCAGCCCCAAACCCTCCTTCGAAACTGTCCAACTTTCTTGGTTTCTTGAAGAGAGGAAACTCAGTTGACATTTGGAATGATGCAAAAAAAAAAGAGTATTAAGTTGAGAAGAAGAGAAAACTGAATCCGGATCAAGAGAGGGAGAACAAATTAGATATTGCAAATTATGTAGAAGATGAAGCCGTTTTAAAGCGTGACAAGGTTTTGGGAGTTATATACATGATTCAGCTTTGAAAGCGTGCTGGTAGTGCTTTGAGAAAATATAGAAATTTAAAATTTTATAATTTGAAAATATTAAGGATTTTTTTTGTACAAAAAAAGCAACGATCATTCTTTTGGCTATTTTTTTTTTGGTTTTTAATTATTTAGTAAGATATAGACACATGTGATAATATAACTGGTTGATTGTGATATAGTAACTCTAGTATCACACACAGTACATTAACTTTAAGCTATAATAATATGTAACCAACAGTATAATACATAGATAGTAGTATCATGACTATATTATATAATGCTTCGATCAAAAGCAAGTATTAAAAATGTATTTGAATATACTGGTACAGTGATACTGCGAGTATATATTTATATATTGTGATACTATAATAATTAATAAAGTTAAAGTTAACTTTAAACACACAAGTTTTTTTGTTTATAATTAGTATCATAGAAGTGAAGAAAGGAAAATGGTACTACTAGTTAATATATATGCTGACTAACAGCAGATAACAAAAGAGCCTAATAGTAATGAATTTGGAAACTTCTGGATAAAGAAGGACAAATGAAGGGACACGTTTAGTAAATAAAATGTTCAACTTTGGACATTTTATCAATCCCCAAACATGATAAATATCAATGCTCTCTCTCGATAAAAATCTTATTCTCACTCCCTAGTAAAAAGAAAAAAAAGAAAAGAGAGAGAGAAAGAAAAATGGACACGACTGCTGAGACTAAGAATGAAAGAGCCGCAATAACCATCATCTCCGGTGATCCTCCTCAAGCCACCACCATCTCCGATGATCCTCCTCGAGCCACCACCATCTTCGATCCTCCTCCAGCCACCACCAACTCCGATCCTTCTCAAGCCACGGTGGTGCCTGCGAGCCGCTTCTCAACCATCCTGAGCTTCTTCACAACCCTCTTGGGTTGCCTCTCGGGTTCTCCAGCAGATCCGGTGGATGAAGTTCCCGAGACTGCCGTTCCCAAAACCGCCGGCGGCGGCACCGCAGCCCCAAACCCTCCTTCGAAACTGTCCAACTTTCTTGGTTTCTTCAGCAGCAGCAGCCAAGGTGATGATGCAACCGGTGGGGAAGTGGAAAATTCCTTACTTCCGCTTACTGACGGCTCCTCCTTCTCCTCCTCCTCCGCAGCCGCAAACCGTCATATTGTCCGTCGTTTCTCGAAGATCCTTAGCATATTCGCCTAATGCTTTGGAGTTGACGGTGATGATAATGCCCGGGCTCCTCCGCCTCCCTCGCCTGGTGGTTATTGCGGTTCTTTCATTCTCAGTCTCAGCAGTCGTGTCCATTTTTTTTTTCTCTCTCTCTCTTTTCTTTTCTTTCTTTTTACTAGGGAGTGAAAATAAGGTTTTTGCCGAGAGAGAGCATTGATATTTATCTTGTTTGGGGGTTTGATAAAATATCCCAAGTTGAACATTTTATTTACTAAACTCGTCCCTTCATTTTTCCCTCTTTATCTAGAAGTTTCCAAATTCATTACTATTAGTCCCTTTTGTTATCTGCTGTTACTCAGCATATATATTAACTAGTAGTACCATTTTTCTTTCTTCACTTCGATGATACTAATTCTAAACAAACAAACAAAAAAACTTATGTGTTTAAGATTAACTTTTATCTTTATTAATTATTATAGTATTACAATATATAAATATATACTCGCAGTATATCTGTACCAGTATATTCAAATACATTTTTAATACTTGCTTTCGATGGAAGCATTATATAATATAGTCATGATACTACTATCTATGTGTTAAACTGTTGGTTACATATTATTATAACTTAAAATTAATGTACTGTGTGTGATACTAGAATGGATGCTGCCATTCTTTTTTCACAAAGAAAAAGACAAGTTATTTGCTATGACCAAAACGGTCAAAACGCCACATATACACGAGTCTAGCGAGCTATAGATTGTAACAGACCACAATCATCGTCTGATTGATATTAGGCTTCCTTTTTTTTGTTATGAAGATAGAGTTAACTATATGCTAAATTAAGACATTATAATCCCCGAAAAAAAAACCTTGTCTCTGCCTTTATATTACGAGCTAGTATTTCGGACACGGAAAAAAAAAACAACTAATTTTGTCCATTTCTTACAAGAAATTTCATTGTCTAATTAATACGTTTTTAATTGGTAATGAAAAGCACTAAAAAGCATATACGGTATCTTTCGCTTACAACAGTTTATGGGCTTAGAGTAGAAGATGGTGGCCCGTTATATGAAGCCTTATAATTGGGCTTTAATGTTAAATTAGTAAGTGTTAAAAGGCTTTTGGGATGTAGCTTAAACTATGCTATACCTTCTTCTTTACCTGTCGATAAAACTTTACGGTTTCGACCTGAACATGATAAGTTGACTGAGGAAAACTAAATAAATTATTGGTACGTCTAGTTAAATGGGTTAGAAAATCAAAAGGTAAAGAATCATGTGGTGCTTTACGAATATTAAGAAACAAAAACATTGGAGAATATAAACATCGTTTTACAAACAGACCGTTACTTATTTATGTTTTTTTTGAGTTGTCGTAAAGAGTCGCAAGGCAGAAAAAATAGACAAAAAGAAAACAAGTAGCATTTCCAATGACTGTGAAGTGGTTGCCACGTGGCTGACATTAAGAAGGTTGCATTAATATGTTTTGATTTTGTTTTCAATAACTTCATGCATGCACAGAGCAAAACATGTGGACGAAATTTAGTTTTTTTCTCAGAGCATCTCCAAAAAGACTCTCTATTATAGAGTTTGCAAAACTCTGTATTTAAAGTTTGAAGGTGTTATACTCCAAAAGCAAAACTTCAAACCTAACTTTAAAACTATTTGTATTTTATATAATGATCCTTATATTTATCATAACTAATTTAAATTCATAAACTTTTATAAATAACTATCATGTATAAAAATATTATACAAATATCATTTGATAAAATGTTACGCTAAAATATAAAATTATAAATAGAAATATATAATCAAATATTAAAGTACAAATAAAATACCACATTATATCATGTAATATTTGTTGCTGTCTACTTCTAGTTTTACAATATTTTAAAGATTATTTTGATTCTTTTTTAAATAGAAAATTTAAATTTATAAAATAATTTTGAATTATTTATGAAATAATAATCTTAATGATTAAAATGATAAATAATAAATATTTAAAATTATTATAAATATGATGTGTAATTGTAAAGACCAAAATGTAAATAAAATATGAAACTTCAAATTTGAAGTTTTGAATAGTGACACTCTATATTTGAAGTTTCACTACTCAAAACTTCAAATTTGAAGTTTTAGAGTTCCTTTTTGGAGAGGCAAAAATTTCATATTTGAAGTTATAGAGTGTCTTTTGGAGATGCTCTTAGAAAATAAAGAAGAGGTACAGCACTTCCAGCATGTACACATTAAATGTAGGAAAAAAATACAGTTTGACAAGTAAAATTTAATAAATATTGGTTATGTTTAACAAATGCTGATAATTAAGTCTAAAAAACAAGAAGAACGTTGCGTAGCACAATGACAAAACTGCAAACCAAGTCCTTAATAACTTTTCTCGTGTAAATCAAAAGGGATAATATCTTAGTATTATATAAACACTCATGCTTATTAACTCCATTGCTAGTTTCTCAAGGTACTTGAAACAATTTCAAACGTACACATAGAAAAACATGAATAAAATATAACAAATGTTAATGCCAACTTTTAAGTGATGATTTATATTCGCAACCGAAAATTAAAAATTAAAAATTCTCACTTAATCCTGTAAATAAATACGCTAGTGTTTTCTCTTGTTTCAACAAGAAAATCATGAAGAATGTTGAAACATATAAGAACAAATGAATAAGATATAAATCCCTGACAAAATACTCTTTTGAGACAAAAATTGCTGTTCCATAGACCTTTGAGGTTTGACCTGGCACGAGAATTAACCGAGCCTCCTCTTTCCGACACCTCCCACTCGCTAACACCGGCGCGTGAAAACTCCTACATTTTGAAATAAGTAAAAGGTCAAAAAAAAGAAGGATAGCGAAAGCGGGGACCCACCGGATCAGGAGGAAAGCAAAAAGCATACGGTAAGAAGCAGAAGCAGAGCAATGTCATTGGTGAGAGACGTCGTTAATACCACGCGCGACCACCGAGCGTTAACCTCGAGGCTGTTCTGTCCCTTTCTCTTTTAACTTCCCTTCCTTCTGTTTCTTTGCTTCTATTATTATATACGAAAAAGCTGTCTTTGGTATATTCAATTTATTATTAAAAAAAATATTTATTCTAATAACCGAATGTATTTGAAAAAAAAGAGTTAAATAATATATTCCTAGTAAAAACACAAAATCCAGATTCTCTTCCATAGCACGCTCTCTCTTTTCTTATTAATCTTCTGCCATCTTAAGACACACTTCCCTCTCTCTACTCAACTGTCCTTTCACTTACCCATTGTGCAATCAAAATCTTATCTCCATCTCTACATTGTCTCCTTTGTTACTTTCTTCTCTCTACTTCTTCACTCATGACGGTCCCGGACGTCAAAACCGGTACCGGCAACGAGAAGCTAGTGGTGGAGATAATAGGGGCCCACAACCTCATGCCAAAAGACGGTGAAGGTTCTTCGTCACCTTTCGTGGAAGTCGAGTTCGAAGACCAACGTCTACGAACTCATGTCAAACGCAAAGATTTAAACCCGATATGGAACGAGAAACTCGTCTTCCACGTCATCGACGCCAACGAGCTGCGTTACAAAACGCTAGAGATCAGCGTTTTCAACGAGAAGCGTTCTTCGAACAGCAGAAACTTTTTGGGTAAAGTTAGAGTTTTAGGGACGAACGTTGGAAGAGAAGGAGAATCTGTTGTTCAGATGTACACGCTCGAAAAAAGAAGTCTTTTCTCGCACGTGCGTGGTGAAATCAGTTTAAAACACTATATCACCACTACGGCTGAGAACGATGGAAATATTAGTCGGGTTAACGGGTCGGGTGGTGTAAAGAAAAGCAAGAAAGTAAGCTCTTCAATTGGTACTCAGCAACAACAACAACATGTAACTCTTCTCAATCATCAGCAACAGAATCAACAGAGGATGCTACCTTTTTATCCAAACCAAGGAGAGATGAAACCTCTAGTAATAACCGCTTTACCCGGTCCAAGACCCGGACCCGGGCCCGTCCTTTACCCAAACGGGTCTAGTGAGTTTTCCCTAAAGGAGACAAAGCCACGACTTGGAGGAGGTACTAGTACGAGCAGTCACAAGGACAAGACAAGCTCAACGTACGATCTAGTCGAGCAAATGCAGTATCTTTACGTAAGAGTCATGAAAGCTAAAGACTTGTCTTTATCCGGTGAAGTTGTGTCTGAAATAAAGTTGGGTAATTACAAGGGAGTTACTAAAAAAGTTAGTTCGAGTAACCTCGAGTGGAACCAAGTGTTTGCGTTTTCTAAAGAAACTATTCAATCATCTGTAGTTGAGATTTTCCTTAGAGAAAGTAACAAAGACGAATATTCGGGTCGGGTCTGGTTCGATTTAAGTGAAATCCCCACCCGGGTTCCTCCGGATAGTCCGTTAGCTCCACAATGGTACAAAGTAGAGAGTAGGAACGGTGTGAGAAGCAGCGGAGAGCTTATGGTTTCAGTTTGGTTTGGGACTCAAGCAGATGAAGCTTTCGCTGAAGCCTGGCATTCAAAAGCTGGTAACGTTCATATAGAGGAACTCTCTTCTATTAAATCTAAAGTTTACTTGTCTCCCAAGCTATGGTACCTTAGGGTTTCAGTTATCGAAGCTCAAGACGTTGCTGTTATTAACAAAGGAACAAATCTCATGAGGTTCCCTGAGCTTTCAGCTAAACTCCACGTCGGGAATCAGATCTTACGGACTAGTGTCTCAACCGCAAACCCGACCCGGAGCTTTACAAACCCGTATTGGAACGAGGATTTGATGTTTGTGGTCGCAGAACCGTTTGAGGATTGCATCACAGCTATTGTTGAGGATCGTGTCGGTGGTAATGATGTTGGGAGGGTTCAGATTCCTGTTTCAGCTGTTGAGAGAAGAACCGGAGATAAACCGGTTGGTTCGAGATGGCTTAACTTAGATAACGGTAACAATAGTCAGTTTGGTTCAAGGATTCATCTTAGGTTGTCACTAGACGGTGGATACCATGTTTTGGATGAAGCCACGATGTATAGCAGCGATGTGAGACCTACAGCGAAAGAGCTTTGGAAACCGCATGTCGGGCTTTTGGAGATTGGGATTTTAAGTGCAACCGGTCTAATGCCTATGAAGGTTAGAGATGGGAAAGGCGTTGGAACCGCGGATTCGTATTGTGTGGCTAAGTACGGTCCTAAATGGGTGAGAACAAGAACCGTTGTGGATAGTCTTTGTCCTAAGTGGAACGAGCAGTATACTTGGGAAGTTAATGACCCATGCACTGTTGTAACAATCGGTGTGTTCGATAACGCGAGAGTTGATAAGAGTAATAACAACACGCGCGATGCGCGGATTGGGAAAGTGAGGATTAGGTTGTCAACGTTGGAGACAGAACGCGTTTACACGCATTCGTATCCGTTACTTGTGTTACACGCTAATGGAGTTAAGAAAACCGGTGAGCTTCATTTAGCGGTTAGGTTATCGTGTGGTAACGCTGTTAATATGTTTCAGATGTATACGTTACCTCTGCTTCCGAAGATGCATTATACTCAGCCGTTAGGAGTTCATTTGCTTGAGCGTTTTCGTTACCAGACGCTAAACGCGGTTGCTGCGAGGTTGAGTAGAGCGGAACCGCCTTTGGGACGCGAGGTTGTTGAGTACATGCTTGATCATGACTTTCACGTTTGGAGTATGAGAAGGAGCAAAGCTAATTTTTTCCGTTTGGTTAACGTTGTTTCGAGTTTGGTTTGGGTTGTGAGATTGGTCGAAGTTATGAGGAGTTGGACCAAACCGGTTTGCTCTACGGTTTTTGTAGTTGTGTTCTTGTTTATGGTTTTGTTTCCGGAGCTGATATTACCGTCTTTGTTTCTCTACGCGGCTGCGGTTGGCGTTTGGCGTTTCAGAAAACGACCTAGATATCCGCCACACATGGACGCGCGTATCTCCCACGCGGAAACGGTCTTTCCCGACGAGCTAGATGAAGAGTTTGACACGTTTCCGACGAGCAGAGGGTTTGAAGTTGTGAGAATGAGGTATGATCGTGTTAGGAGCATCGCTGGGAGGATTCAGACGGTGGTTGGTGATATGGCGAGTCAGGGAGAGAGAGCACAGGCGTTGCTGAGCTGGCGTGATCCTCGTGCGACGTTTATCTTCTTGGTGTTCTGTTTGGTCTCTGCGGTTGGGTTTTACGTAGTGCCGGTTAAGTTAACCGTGGCTGTTGCTGGTTTGTATTATCTGAGACCGCCTCGGTTTAGGAGGAAGCTGCCGTCGCGTGGGCTTAGCTTCTTTAGGCGGTTGCCGTCAAGAGCCGATAGCTTGCTTTAGATCTTTGCGTTTGTATAACATGTTGTCGTTCTTTAAGGTTATTACTAGGAGTGACTTAAGCTGTTGGTAGGTTTCTTGGTTTAATGGATTTGTTTTGGTTAAAGTTAACCGGTGTAGGTATTGTAACAACAAGTTGTGTTAATCATTAGGAGGATGCTTGGTTGTTTCATTGCAATAGTTGTTTGCTAACTGCTTGTAGTTTTTCTATATGGGTCCCCCATGAATGACTTTGCTTGCTCTTTGTCACATAAAAACATATACATAACTCAAAGCCCCTTTGGATTTGTCATATGGTCATTGCTCTGCCAATTGATAGAGTTTTGTAATGGAACTTTTTTGTTACTTTTTATTAATTACCAATATTCTTAAACTAATTCTTTTGACATTATTTAAAGAAAAAATTTAGTAAACCGGATAGAGAAAGAAAACATTTATAATTTTAATTCTATCTTCATTTGTTAAGATATTAAGGTGAACAAACAACATTCGAAAATATGAACTTATCTTTAATTTTTTAAATAATCATGCGAAATGCAGAAATAGCTAAAAAAGAGGTAAAAACTGAATAGTAGTTCAAAAGCTGAAAAAGAGGTAAAAACTGAATAGTAGCTCAAATAAAAAGAGAGGTAAAAACTGACTGAAATATATTCAAATTTTTATATTAGTAAATGATCAGAATCATGAGATGTGTCGTTAATCCTATAAACAACTATTAAGGAATCATTTCAAAGTATTAGAAAACATTAGGGGTATTATTGAAAATTAGAGAGAGTGTGTTTTAGATAATCAAGAACAGATCTTTTAATGTTATTGAGCAGACCGCATGGCATCCTGTTTCTCCTCGTTGTAGGTTTCTCTTACATCAATTATCAAACCCATCACGAGCTCGGAGCCGCCGGCCACGAAATTCTGGCAGATTAGATCGGCGAAAAGAGCTCGCTTTCCCACGGCCATCGCCCATTTAGAGTTTTTTTCGTCCTCGCATCTATGGATTCGCTGTGAATTTTGGAGCTTTAGAGATGACGGAACCTATGTGGTCACACGATCAGCCTTCACCAAAACCATTGGCTAATTCCCATCGCCAAAGGTCACAACTTTATTCTATTTTTTGATACTTTTCTGCATCTGAATTATAGAGAAATTTGTTTTTTTGAAAGCTAAATTATAGAAATTTGGAACGACTTTGATTGATTTTAAAGAGATCCATCGTTAGATCAGATAATTAGAAGGCTCGTTTATGTTTTAAAAAGACAACTTTGGAGGCTATAGATTAAACTTGATTAGTTTCAGCTATTAAAAAAGGCAGTATCTAGTTCTTTCAGCTTCTGATATGGTTTGAGTGTGCTTGTTCAGGTGTAGGAGCGTATTTAAGTTACTGGTCCAGAGAGAGATTTCACCTAAAACGAAGTTTGTGCCAAGGAAACGATGGGGAGTTAACCAATGCGGTGCTGATTCTTCGTGTGGAACGAGTAGCGAACCAGTGAGCGAGCGGGGACATAATCTTATTTCATGGTACATTGTTTTTTAATGTTTTCTTAAGCTTCCTTTATGTGATGTGCCTGCTTCAACGTTTCTGAGTGTAGATTACTTTCCTTGTATGTAGGGTTGAGGCAGAGTCATTACTTCATTTATCTGCTAAGTACTGTCCTCTTGTGCCTCCTCCGAGGTCAACTATTGCAGCAGCTTTTAGTTCTGATGGAAGAACTCTTGCTTCTACACAGTAAGTATTATTATGAGCCGTATTTGTTGTACTATTGCTAAAGAGATTTACTTTGTTTTTTTTTTTCAAATCTTTGTAGTGGTGACCACACTGTAAAGATTATTGATTGTGAGACAGGAAAATGTTTAAAAGTTCTGAGCGGCCATCGAAGGACACCCTGGGTGGTGAGTTAGAGAATGATATTTTTTTTCTCTTTACGTAATTGATTAGCTCTTAGCTTGACCATAACTATCTCTAGACTACCTAATGTCATCTCATGTAGTGGAATTTGGTGGCTATATTATCACTGCTTCATTGGTTATATAGGTTATATGATAGATGTCAACTTTGTTATATTTTTGTTATGGTGTAGCACATTAGACATTGTTTGCAATGATTTAAACGGTTGCTCCCTGCTTTAGTAGCTAATCTCATTGAGTTCTCTGCAGGTCAGATTTCACCCGCGCCACTCAGAAATAATTGCTAGTGGAAGTTTAGATCATGAGGTGCGCCTATGGAATGCAAAAACTCCGGAGTGTATTAGATCTCATGATTTCTGTAAGTGCTACGCATTTATAGTATTGTGTTCTTTTTCCCCCAGATAATTAACTTTCGTTCTCTTTTTCTTTGCCCAAAACAGACAAACCTATTGCTTCTATAGCTTTCCACGCTGAAGGTGATTTACTTGCTGTGGCATCTGGTCATAAGGTATCGCATTGCCTTTTAAATATCTCATGAAGCGAGGCCTTTCCTCTCAGAATAAGATTTGATTAATGCGTTTCTTTTGTAGTTGCACATATGGCAATACAATAAGTTAGGGGAGGACTCATCGCCAGCAATTGTGTTGAAGACAAGACGTTCCCTGAGAGCTGTACACTTCCATCCACATGGGGTTCCTCTTCTCTTGACAGCAGAGGTGACTGACATTGATTCATCAGACTCCGCAATGACTCGAGCAACATCTCCTGGTTATCTGCGATATCCGCCCCCTGCTATTTTCTTCACCAACACGCAGGGTGGCAGTCGGACTACTATGGCAGCTGAACTGCCACTTGTGCCATTACCTTACTTGGTTTTGCCTTCATATTCTGCTGATGATCCAAGAATCCAACATTCAACTGGTCCAAGGAATGCACAATCTAGGTTTCAGATTCACCAAAGTCCCGTAGAACAGGGCAGCAGAACCATGTCTCCTCCTACTCTTCCCTTGTCTATGTCCGGTGATCTTGCACGTTCTCCAGTAAACTCTGCGAGCAGTATGTTAGCTGCCCAAGCGGGAGCTAGAACTTCGACCACTGCAGTTGATGCAATGGATATAGATGAAGCTCAACCTATTGGAAGAAATAGAGTTCCCAGTCAAGTTTTAAGTCAACCAGATTCACTTGAGTTTGGGCAACTTCAGCAGTTGGCTCACCTCAGAGACAGAGGTTCGTGGGAGATACCTTTTCTACAAGGGTGGTTGATGGCTCAGAGCCAGGCTGGTGCTAGTGGGAGTAGTGGTCATGCCAGCTCAACTCCTCATACAGGTTCTTCAGCGCCTCATTCAGCCACAGCCAGTCTAGAGGCTGCAGTAGCGTCATTAGAAATTCCTGGTGGTGTTAACTTATATGGGGTTTCTGCAAGAGGCGACTCCCGGGACCGAGTTTCACAGTCCCGGTTCGCAGGATCTGGTTTAGCAGAAGGTATTCCCTCTCGTAACACTCAACAGCAAGGAACTGATGCTCAACCTGTGGTAAACAGAATCCCCTCTGAACTAGCTTCTTCGATTGCTGCTGCAGAGTTGCCTTGTACTGTCAAACTGAGAGTGTGGTCACATGACATCAAAGACCCGTGTGCAATACTCAAGTCTGACAAATGTCGATTGACAATACATCATGCTGTTCTTTGCAGGTAATTATTCTCCTTAATATCGTTATGCTAATTAATATTTCACTTTTGTTGATGAGGATGCATTTGTGTGTTTATCTTGGCAGTGAAATGGGAGCCCATTTCTCGCCATGTGGGAGATATTTAGCAGCCTGTGTTGCGTGTGTTGTCCCTCATGCTGAGACAGATCCTGGTTTGCAGACTCTTGTCCAACAAGATTCAGGGCTTGCAACTTCCCCTACTCGACATCCTGTCACAGCACATCAAGTCATGTATGAACTTCGTGTGTATTCTCTCGAAAAGGAAACGTAAGTGATACTTACATCTTACATTTCTCGACTTTTAATAATGGCATAACAGACCACTGATGGAGAGAGTGTCTCATGTATGTCTACAGATTTGGTTCAGTACTTGTGTCAAGGGCAATTAGGGCTGCACATTGCTTGACCTCTATCCAGGTAAATACTTATAATTGTGTAGGTCCATGAGATTCTCATCAGTCATCACTAATCCATAGGGTAGAGCTGCTCACGGTTTAATATGATTGTGATGGAATACATTATAATTAGAAGTTTCCATGCAGTTCTCACCAACCTCCGAGCACATATTGCTGGCATATGGTCGGCGTCATGGTTCTCTTTTGAAGAGCATTGTGAGTGATGGAGAAACAACATCACATTTTTTCACAGTGTTGGAGGTAAACGTTAATGCTTCTGTAGTTGTGGATCTAAAGAAAATTAAACTTTTTGTAGTTCCTACTTTTTACTTATTTGCACTTTTTTTTCTCTTCCATTAGATTTACAGAGTTTCAGATATGGAACTGGTGAGAGTACTACCTAGCTCAGAGGATGAAGTTAATGTTGCTTCCTTTCATCCTTCACCTGGAGGGGGTCTTGTTTATGGAACGAAGGTAAGTGATCCAATAATGTATAGCTCTTCTCAGTCCCTCAATTATACATCAACTAAAACTTCCTAAATACTTTCTCAGGAGGGGAAGCTTAGGATCTTCCGGTACAACACAGCTGTTGCGTCCAACCTCACTGCACCAAACAGCTCACCTGAGAAGAACTTGGCCGAGGTAGAGTTACTGAGAAGGTTGATTGATCTTCTTGTAATAATCAAAGTTAAAAAGAGTTTGAAAAGTAAGTAATCTTTTGAACTAACATATGATCATTTCAATTTGCTTCCTTGAAAAAATATGAACAACAGGTGCAGACTTATGCATTAGAATGCTAAGCAGAGAAGAATTCAGGTCTCAACCGTTATATACATACACACAGACGGATCTTCCTCAGTTCTTCTGGGTTTGCGATTATACATCTGAGAAGCTTTTTCTATCCACAAGCTGGGTGTTATCTTTTTATGCCGTGGAAGGTCACATCGTTGGATGGGCTTCTCACTATATCAGTTTGCTACCAAAGTTCTTAGTCAGTTATTTGAAAAGACTGCAGAAAAAAGTTCAAAAAGGAAGTGTTCTTGTGTTAGTTGTTATAGCTTTGTAACTAAGTTTGTAACCACGTTTCTACCTTTGTATGTTTATCTTTACTTGTTTGATTTTCTCCCCATTCAAAAAAAAATGTTTTGACTTTCTATCAAGACGTTTGATCTTTATACATAACACAGAACAAACAAGGGAAAGGTAAAGTTTTCTAAATGTGTAAAGTGTTAACAATAGTCTTTTTAAAGAGAAGCAATACAGATGATGCTCAATCAAATCAAAGACGTTGCCACAAAATGTTCAATACTGTTACAAGCACACAAGTTGGATGATTCCTTTCAAAGCGAACACCTAATGGCAATGCTACCCTTGTTATAACTCACTTTTCAACATGGCGGACTCCATTTACCGGCGGCAAAGTCCTTGTAGAACTTGGACCTCTTCGATACAATGTAGAACACTAATAAACCAACAAAAACAAGCAGAGAAGAAAGATTAAGTTCTCACACAAACAAAGCTGAGAAAACTAGAGTTCAACATGTTATACAAACAAACCTGGAATCTCAGGGATGACGAAGTTAGATTCTTTCAACACGTCATGTAATGTTCTTCTCTCGTTCACTTTAACCATACCAGACGGCCCCTTTCCTTTCACTTTTGCCACAGTTCATAGAAAATGTGTGAATATTTAGAGTGATTGACAAATATATAACCATAAGTAAGATTGTTTACCGTTGTAAGGTGTTTTAGTTAAGCTTGTGTCCTCATCTCCAGTGGTTTCGGCTTGAGAGCCTTTAGTACCTTCTAGCAGATACTGTAGAACTCTACTCCTAGGCAATGGAGTTCCCGAATTCGCCTAGAGAAAATAAACCAAGTGGGGAGAATGTTCAACGTGTTAACACGAAATGCATCATAACACAATTTAGTCTATAGAGTTTCAGTAACTTTTCAACGGATCTAAAGCCATTTAAACTTAGAATTTGTGTGGCGTAAGAAGAGTTGGTTACCTCGTAGTAAAGCTCGATTGCTTCACGCGTGTACTCATGGTTTGTATCCCATGGCAACGGTGGGCTATCATCTGAAAACATGTTCACAGCGCTAAGGAGGAACAAGAAACTGAACTGAACAAAGCTAATCAGAGGAAGTTATCAAAAAAAGAGATTTAATGAAAAAAAGGATATCATATCAAGATGTGTTGCAAACATGTCAGTTTCACAAAAGTCCTCAACAAAGTCACTTGTCATAGCCTCTGCATAAAGAAGCAGGATAGGCCAATGCAAAATGTTGCTCTGATCCAACACTGGCTTCTTCAAACCCGTGAGTTCCCGATACATTGCTTTCCCAATCTTAACTCCTCTGTTTTCAAAAACAGAGAGACAAGCCTGCAGCAAAACCCAATAAAAATCTAAGCTTTCTATGGCCAACATGAAGATGAGGTTATGCGTTAAACCAAACCTTAGCTTCCACTACAGCTCTTGAGACTTCAGCTTCATGTTCTTCTTTCTCTTTCTTCTTCAAAGTCACTTGCTTTAGCAGCTTCTTCATATCCTCATTACTCGGATCACTCTTGATCCCCTTCTCGCAATAAGATATAGCTTCACTCAGCAAGTCCAATGACATTGACGCCTTTGCAGCTCGATACACCGCCTATCAAAGCATTGAACACACATTAACAAACGAAACCAAGAAGATAGTCTAAAGAAAGTTCTCTTTTTTTTTTGTTTACCTTAACGTTATCAGGGCCTAGCTTGAGAGCTTCCTCAGCATCAGTAAGAGCACGACGATAGTTTCCTAATAGTAAATTAACATGAGCTCGATTAGAGAACAAGATTGAAGTCTCTGAGTCACTTAAAGCTCTTTGATCAATAGCTTTCGTGTAGTTCTCCACAGCTTCTGAGTAATGCTTCTTCCCTTTCTTCACACACTCGTTTCCTTGTTCCTGTGTTTGTTTGCACAAAAAAACGTTTAAGCATATCAGAGTGATAGTGTTTCAGAGCAAAAGAGAAGGAAAAGGAGAGTAGACTTTTACTTTGAATTCGATGGCGGCGGATTCTTTGAGAGCAGAGATAGCTTCGAGGTCAGCCTTTTCGTTCTCTGTCAGGGGTTCTGACCCAGCTTCCATCCATAACGCCATTGATTTTTGCAAGGAAAAAGATTGAGCCCGACAATAAGATTCGAGTAACCTAAGATTTAAGACAGGACCAGAAGTAGAAGTAGTAGAAGAAGAAGAAGCTTCGAGTTCTCTGGATTGGTGAAATACTATCTCTAAACCGAAGACCGGTTTGAATCGTAATGTTCAGGTTGGGCCGTAATAGCTTTCATGGGCTTTAATTATATGTTAAGAGGCCTGTGTAATCGAACATTATGGGGCCATACAAGAGGGGAAGAGACACTCCTTGTAGTAATAATGCAAGGGCAGCCTATGGAATGTTCTCCATCAGCAGATGATGATAATCAAGAAGATAGTAGTAGATCCAAGGAGTGGGGGATAAGCAGACATGGGAGATGGGAGCAGTGCCAACCCATTAAATCTGAGGACCAGAAGCTAAAATAAAATTGAGGACCGTTTGAAGTTCGAACTCTCTACCTTTGAAACTATATATGGCAATCATTTTCATTATACTATAGAAAAATTATTATTTATTTTCAACAGATACACTATATATAGTTTTTCGGGTCGGAAGCTCCAGCTTGTAATATTTGGTGTCGGATCGCTACTGCATGGGAGATTAGCTGCTTGTTCTGTGGGAGCTTGAGTTGTGTTTAGATTCGTTTAGTTCTCTTGTGTAATCAGCACAATAAAATTCATTACTTCTACCAGCTAAAAGACAACTATACTGGCCAGACTTCGAGTAATGCAATAAAAAAATTGTTACTCCAGCTTGCGTGAATTATTTGCTAGATATTCCATTCCCTAAAAAACATTCTTTCAGGGTTTGAGTATTGTTAATCCTACCTCTTAACCACGTCAAATTTTTTTGCTAATAGTTTACTCTATAAAATAAATATTAGTTACGAACTACTCTAAATTTTTGAAAATGGAAATAATTATTATATTTTTGTCAATTAATGTTCACATGGTCTGTCTATGTGAACTGCTGATGGCAGCTCAGATTGCCATTGAACCATCTTCTCATGACTCACAGTACAATTAATTTATTATGTTTGCAATTGTAACTAATTAACATGTGATTAAACGATCGAAATGGTTAACAAACTATTAACAATTTACCATGTCTTGTTTTTTTTCTTATAATTGTTTGTCTAAGAAAATAGCTTATACTCTAAAGTTGATATAATATATATATGTGTGTGTGTGTGTGTGAAAATCATTAAAATTCGAGATCTAGATTGATTTATACAAATTTAGATATAAACTATTGTTTTGCTATTAATAATAATAATAATAATAATAATAATTTTAGAGTAAGCATTATATGTAAATAAAATGGCAAGTGGGAACTAGCATGAGTTGTTCATGAAGGTCATGCTTAGCCACTTCCTCTATATATTTTATATGTTTGTGTATATAGATAGTTTTTTTTGTTCAACATGTATATAATAGTTACAATATCATTTAAACAATGTCCTCCCTCATATATGCTAGCAAATCGCATATTCAGCGGTTTTTCACCGGTATTTATTAAAAAAAAATAAAAATCCATGTGCTTGTATTCCTACTCTTCAATCAATTTGTCAACAATCACCATAACCTGACCACATACCTCAAGATCTACATTTCTCCTGTCCTTTCCATTCAACAAAGCCAAAAACAAACAAACAAACCGATTAAACAACTTATTATGTAATTACCACTTGATCGTTAAATGTCTCCCGTGGACCCGTGGTATCGTCGGAATCCTAGTAAATTGAGTCATGTACTCATGTTACCATTTACGTTGAATCATATGTATTTTTACTTGTAGTGTTCGCGTGATTATGTTTTCGTTAAAGACTATGTTACAATTCATTCATTGCAAATCCTTTTTTACTAAGTATAATCCCCAATAATGCAATTTGTATACCATCTGTGCCAATATAGTCAAAATCTCTTGACAAATTAGCCACGTCGTGTAATGCTTTTTTCACAATTTTATCGCCACTAATCAAGGAGATCAATTGCATGCTCATGCAATCATAGTTACTTAGCAATTAGTTTAGTTTAGTTTTTTTTGGTCAAAGCAATTAGTTTTATTTATCCACATCTATTTGTTTCCCCCGCATATTAAGCTATATTTTCATAATTGTGTTCCCCTTAAAAAAGTGATTATCAGCTACACATAATTCACGTATCTTTTGGTTATATATTTATACATTTAACTCAGAAACAATTCATATCGTGCATCAAGTATAGTAAACAACGATCTATTAAAGAAAAACTGAATATAAAATCACAATAAATTATTAAAAATTAATGAAACGCCAAAAAAAACTTGGATTCAGATTTGTGTGTTCTCTTGTTAGGGCCACTATAACTCTTCTCTACCTATAAAACCCTCTTTACATACACACTTGTGATCAGATTTATTCTCAAAGATCCAAAGCACTTCTTCTCAAACATGGACCGATCCATACTTCTTTCTCTAGCACTAGCCTCACTCTTGGTCGGAGTCGTCTCAGCTCGTGACTGGAACATCTTGAACCAGCTCAAATCACTCGGTTCATCGTCGTCACCAAGCCAACACGGTCTTGCTTCTTCAGGGCTCTCGACGAACCTGAAACGTTACTGCGAAAGCTGGAGGTTCAACGTGGAAGTACACAACATCAGAAACTTCGATGTGGTGCCTCAGGAGTGCGTGTCTCACGTCCAGAACTACATGACGTCATCTCAGTACGAGGATGACGTGGAGAGAGCCGTTGATGAGGTCATTCTTCATTTCGGGAGCATGTGTTGTAGCAAGAGCAAATGTGATGGCATGGACGCTTGGATCTTTGATATCGATGACACGCTTCTCTCTACCATTCCTTACCACAAGAGCAATGGCTTCTTTGGGTAAATCTAATAACCAGCTTTCTGGTTCGACCGGTTTAAGATAAACGTGGTTTAATCTTGTTCAATTGATGTTTATTTCTTTTTCATGATTATGGAATTGAAAACAGAGGAGAGAAACTGAACTCTACTAAATTTGAGGATTGGATAAAGAAGAGGAAAGCACCACCAGTGCCACACATGGTGAAGCTGTACCATGAGATCAGAGAAAGAGGCATCAAGATCTTCTTGATCTCTTCCCGGAAAGAATATCTCAGATCTGCCACCGTCGACAACTTGATCCAAGCCGGTTACTATGGCTGGTCCAACCTCATCCTCAGGTACAATTAAACCGGAGATCAAGAGAACATACTTATTCGGTTCTTACATTCTGTAAACCGAAATAAACCCACGTAAACCAACTTAAGAGGATTCTATCTGGTTCATATATTCTCTAAACCAAATAAAAACAAAATTGAACCAGAAGCTAACCTTGTCCACTCAATAACACACTCATTAAGCTTTCTATAAATTGACTCCAGTTGAGTTAAAACCGTTTATTTTTCTTTTTCAACCGTTTTTGTACACCCCTCTAGTTATATATTCTGGTTCGCTCGAACCGGATTGGACAAACCGATATACTAAAAGCAGAAAATAATGCAGGGGGCTAGAAGATGAGCAAAAGGAAGTTAAACAATACAAGTCAGAGAAGAGGACATGGCTAACGAGTCTTGGTTACAGAGTTTGGGGAGTGATGGCAGACCAATGGAGTAGCTTTGCAGGTTGTCCTCTTCCCAAGAGAACCTTTAAGCTCCCTAACTCCATCTACTATGTCGCCTAATCAAAACACAAATAAGGTTTTAGCTTTATTTTGTTCAAGAAGAATCAATAAAAAATAAGAGAGAACAGTTTTTGTTCTGATTCTTGTTTTTCTTGTTTTTTTGTCTTTACTTTTTCATGTTATTTTATAATATGGATAACAAATGTTTTTTTCCCAGTACTACCAAACAAACAAATATACTACAGAGAGAAGTCAATTCAAAATCAAACACAATCAAGTAAGTGTTGAAAGAGTGCGGCACCATTATTTATCTCTGTTCAAAGCTTTCTCCAGCCTTGCCTCAAATGGTGTTGAATGCCAATTCACGCTTTTATCCTGCATTGTCCACAAAACAAGTCACTCTCAAATAATAAAAAGGACTCTTGATTGATTAGTACACTCGTGTTGGTTCTGAAACCGGTTTACACATACCTCTCTGTACTTACTGGTGGTGTTTGGTATGCCCTTGAATGAAGATACAGAGCCGCCGCTATCTGCTGCCTTTGAGTGATCCCAGTAACCACCAACTGTGCCTATAATAGGTGTTTCATCATGACTCTTTCTCGGTGATTTCCTTGGCGTAGATGTAGCTGAGAACTGTTTGATCTCCTCCGCTGTCAATGCACATAGTACAGGTCTATCGTCATGGCTGTTTATAACCCGTTTTGAGTAGCTTGTAGACTTGCTTTTCACCGGTGTGTTAGAGACACTGTTGCATTCACTACCCGTCTCAGATGTTGACAACCATGTCGAAAGGCTAGCATCAACAGTTAACTCCTTGTTTCCAGCTTTCTTGGATTCAATGGTGGAGTCCTGCTTGAAGCTGAGCGTTGTGTCATCAGTCTGAGAGTCTCTGCCGAAAGAAAACGAACCCTTTTTGTCTTCTTGATCTGAAATGAGGTTAGAGTTCTCCTTTTCAGACTGTTTCTGTACTGTTTTCCCGCTGGACTTAGCTGATTTCCACTGAGTGAGATTCTCAACGGGGTTAAGTACTCCTTGAACACTCTCATTAGACCTTCTCAGCTTTGCATCGTGCTTATCTTCACTAAACGCTTCATCACTATAAAACTCGTCATCTAGGTCACTTTCACCGCAGTACAAGTTCTCCTCCTCTATTTCATCCTCATCGCTTTCTCTGCAATTCTTGTATCTGTCGTTTGAAGGATACGACGCAACCTTACTAATCTCAGAAGAAGACTGATGACTATCCTTGCTTGGACTCAGTGATACCACTTCGGGTACAACCTCTTGTTTCTCCACTTGCGAGAGTTCAACAGATTCTTGTAACGCATGAGTTTTGACTTGAGAGTCAAAAGTGACTCTCTTCTTAGTAGGACTTGGACTACTTTTCTCCTCAGCCTCGTAACTGACACAAAATCAGCATATGTTAAAGCTTTTTAAACAAAGCTCTTGAATCTATATGACAATTACCGAATAAATCAACAACACTCACCAAATCTCACTCACTGGAATCACAGCGTTTTCCGGGATTCTATGATCAGTTTTTGCAGATTCCACATAGAGATTCTACGCAAACAAAAAAACAAAAGAGTTTCTTCGAGTCAAGCAAACCTAAACACGAAGATGAATCCATATCTATCTAGAAGAGTAACGCTGTTCGATCGCGAACAAATTGACCACTAAAAGCTCATGCAAAGAAGGATGAAAGAGACTTACATTTCCTCTAACCTGATCGGATTCTCTAAGTTTCTGACGCCGGCGATTCTTCCGGCGACCGAAACAAACCGGAAAGCATCCCATAACTCGAGATGGAGAGTAAATTTTCCTTCGTTGAGTTTCAAGGATTTTGATCGGATATAAATGAGTCGCACATCGAAATTGAGGAGAGGAGAGGAGAGGAGCGTGGTAGGGACGAGGATCTGATTAGGACTGAGAAGAGCGGGGGAAAAGCGTCAACTTTGGAATTGGGATTTTTTAGGGTTTTAATATTATTTACTTTTCCTTGATTTTAATTAATTTAGAGATGATAAAGTAACTGACCGTTACAATGCTGGCCTACCAATCAAAAGCTCTGGAACAAAAAAAACGTTGAAATTATCTTTTATTTTTGTTTTACAAATTATTTTAAATAAATGTCATAGGATGTAACTTGCAAGTTATAACAATCTTACATATAAGGTGTGATGTAACTGAAACATTTTTTTTTTTTTAAATCTTAAGTTAGCTGATCATAGGATGTAACTTATAACCAGCAATGGACTCCAAGAGCCATGTGTGACCAACCACCCTTGACCCTGTTTTGCTTGATAAAGCTTCTGCTTCATTTGCTCTCTGCCATATAATTGTCACTTCTTCACCTAAGCCACATCCTGGTGGAGGATCAATGTTGTACACCACAAGAGTTGATGATCTTTGGTCACTGTCACTGACATTGTTGTTGTTTTCTGAGCTAAGATCATCCTCTGTCTTCAAGATTGTACCACCAGCTACTTTGACTAGGTTTTGAAGGTCTTCTTTGTACCCTTTGAAGAACTCTCCATGGAAATAGAATTTCAAGCCATCAAAGAGTTTTGGTTTCTGCTTGATGAAGAACAAAACGAGTGAGATATCCAAACAAAACACTTATTAAATTTGTTTCTTTTTGGTATGGTGTACTTACATTAGATGCTGCTCTGAGTCTTGCAGTTTTTGGTCCATCTTGACATCCTTGAGTGTCAATGTGAATCTCATATGGTTCTTCATCAACAGGTTGAGAAGCTTCAAAGCTTGCTTTAATCCCTGGAAACAGTTAAGTTGATCCATGTAAAGATAAAAATTTATTTCTGGCAATAGTAAAGAGGATTTGAAAACCTGAGTGAGCAATCTAACTTACAATCTGCATTGATGATCCACTTCCCATTGAGAATACCCATGAGAACCTTCAAGGTTCTTGTGCAAGCTCCTTTCTCGTTTGTAGAAGCAATCACATGTGTAACACTTGGGTTCCAGTATCTTGATATTGTCGCATTGAGTTTAGCAGCTAACTTTTCCATCAAGCGCTGGGGAATAACAATGCAATGTGAAATTTAGTCTTTTTGTTTGGAAGCAACCAAACAAAAGCGGAAAACCACATACAGAAGGTTCCTTGTTTGTGGTAAGAAGAGTATCTTAGCACTGACCTTATCATCTTGAGATAGTGCTGATCCACACAGAACAAGGTCTTTTGTCACTGCCGATTTGTTTTCCAGCGAACAAAGTTCGTCAGTTTTTCTGAGGGAACAAGGAAATGAGAATAATTAGTTTTTATTAGTATTTAGTAACATATCAAGAAAAAGTCATAATATGCTGAAAATGGTTTCATACGTTTCCTCTAAGGGGTCAGCTTTAGGTAGACAACGACGAGGTCTCGACTTCTCGCTTGGGAATTTGACTGAAGAATGAGCAGGACAAAGCAGAAGAAAATCTTCCTGCAAGAACCAATAAACAGTTTCACATTACAATTGGAACTTCAGTAAGTAAGAAATTACTGTAAGCAAATGAGAATGTGACGGCACATACATTATCCCACCGGCATCTGGACATCTCCCGTGCACAGGGAACATGGTAGCTCCTGCGGCAAGACTTCACATAGCAGCCTAAGGCTGCCCCTTTCAGATTACATTTGGTGCACTTGATTTTCATTCCCCTAGCCAGCTCTGCTTTCAGGTTCTTCACTGTCTCAGCTTCGTAGTAAACTTGAGGTGCCCTAAAACATTCATCAGCAGCTTTAATATATTTATCATTAAGAAAATATTTAAGTTCTTGCTTAAATTTTAGGTTGCATTTTGTTTACCATTCAATACATGCGTTGTGGACATGGATAACATTGGAGCGGAAGATGTCATCTCCAGCCACCGGATTTCCTCTGGAGTAATGCAGCATTTCTCCAGTGGCCTAACGAAACATTGATCCAACCAATTGAGTAAAACCGCACAACAACAAAATGCTCAGTTTTTTAGACAAGACATGATCAAGATTTTTACCTCAGATACCCTAGCAGATTGGCAGAATCCACATATGGTTATGTTGGATGATGGTTGAGTTGAAAGTGAAGATGGGGTCAAATCTGATGACTTTGAGGTATTCTCGATCAGCTGATCATCAGAGTTTGCAGTATAGTTGTTCTTGAAGTCATTATCAGCAGCTTTTTGCAACATATTCTTCTGCTTCTTGGGCACCTTGTGATGATTTCCCATTCCTTCTGACGAGTTGACGTCACACTTCCTCTTTGCAGCATGTTCTGTATGGCTTTCAGGTAACTGCTAAAAGAAATTGATACACATCTTAAGTGGTGATACATCTAAAGGACATCACAAAAGCTCATATAATAATTCAAAAAATTAAGTACACCAATGTTTTTATCATGTTAAATGTGTGATTAAGAATGCATCACAATTCAAGAACGGACTGATGAATCTAAATGGCCAGATAGTAATGCAAGACGAGACTGTACCTGATGTTTCTGTGGTTTTACATGTTCATGTGACTGCTGAGTTATCAGATTTGGGGTACTTTCTTTTGACTTTGGAAGCGTAGAATCATCATGACTAAATGACTCCACACAAATCCGCTTCCTCGCAGCATTGCAAAACTGCTCAGAAGCAGTGATGCCACCCAGACATTTAGCAGCTGGTCCTTTCTGACTTTCCGGTGTCTGCAGCAGGAAAATAAAATCAATACACGTCTTTTAAATGAATTTACAAAGATACATCAAACCGGTCAGAATATGGTCTCACCTGATTGCCAGAGTTGTCTGATTCAGAGGCTGGAAGGGGAGAACCATCAAGACTAGAGGAGTCACTACCACCACCATTGCCCTTGATCACATCCTTATCAGTCATCTCAGAATCCTCATATCCACCGTCTTGTGAGCTATTGGAAGTGTTCTGGATCTGTAACTGTGGGAGATGAACAGCTGCGTCCAAGCTCTTGTATATGCTTATAACAGTCTCCATGAAATGCAGATTCCTCCCAGCTGCACATGAATAATTTGCAACTCTCTCAACACAAATATTCAAAAAAACAATTATATTTAAATTAAATTGAATTTACCCTTCTTAGGGTGTTTGGATTTGCAAATAGGACAGCCTGATTCAACTTGTGACGATTCATGAATACATGAACTGCAAAAATCATTTCCAGAAAGATAAGAATCGATTTGAAATCAAATCGGTAAAGACTAACAGAGAATATATAGATGGACTCACCCGCAGAAGATGTGGTCACAAGGAAGCAACACTGGCAGATTAAGCAATTTCAAGCTGCGAAATATGTAAAAATCAATCGTTACGGTTCCAATAACAACATGAAAGTAATTAATTAAAAACAAAAATTAAGGAAGATATTAGACGAACCATAGAGGGCACTTGAGCTCTAAACCGAGCTTCTGGAGATGAAGAACCCATGGATTCATCAACATGCTGGTGAAATTCGCCATTACTGTATGGAACGAGATCTAGATGACGAAAACCTATTGAACGCGAAGAGAAGGAGAGAAATGCATTTCGTCTCCGTTCGATTGGTATTTACTTATAGAGGGAAGGACACGTGGACGGTAGATATAGAATGGCGGGAAGTAAGGCGGGGGGATTCTGATTTGATTAAGCGGGAGAAAATGTGAATTAAATAAAGCCCGCTTGTTTGCTACGGAAATTTGAAATATTTTGAAATTTGCTTAGTAAAAGGCCGAGAAAAGCCCATTAGTTCGTTTGCAAGTAACCCTCTAGATGGCACCGAAGGTTATTATTTCCTTGCATTATACCCACCACGTAGCATAGGGATATAATTGGAAAGTTAGGACGCTTCCAAAAACTATTCAACTCTCCACACTCTCTCTCTCCTCTTTCCTCCAAAACTCTGGCGATGGAATGAGACGTGGTTAGATACGACAGCGAACGATGAGAGCTGATTTGAAATCTGTAACGGCACTCTGTACCGTACTCGCCGTCGTTATCTTGCTTTTCCGTGGCGTTACGGCGGTGGAGGAGGATGGGACCGAGTTTCACGGCGACTACTCGAAGCTATCTGGTATAATCATTCCGGGATTCGCGTCGACGCAGCTGAGAGCGTGGTCGATGCTCGACTGTCCATACACTCCGTTAGACTTCAATCCTCTCGACCTCGTTTGGTTAGACACCACTAAGGTACGTGATGAGTGATCTTCGTTTTCAGCTCGTTATTGATGAATCTCCAAGCGAGATATCTTGTTGAAGAAATGTTGTTCACTGAATTTGAATTTGTTAGACGAATGTGATTATTTATTCATGTTTTTCAAGGAGATGAGTGATTACTGCTTAGTAGTTGTTAAAAAATCTCTTGCGTATTTTTAAATCAAACTGTTATGTCACTATAATCTGTTATTGGAGTTAACACGCGTGGCGATTCGTTTAGTAGTTAATTGGATGATTTTTACAGCTTCTCTCAGCTGTAAACTGCTGGTTTAAGTGTATGGTGTTGGATCCTTATAATCAAACGGATCATCCCGAGTGTAAGTCACGCCCTGACAGTGGTCTTTCAGCGATCACGGAATTGGATCCAGGCTACATAACAGGTAGATTCTCATTTTTATCTTCGTATGAAGTTTCTTAGAATTCAAACTCGTTTTTATTGTGATAATATTGTTAAGTAAATTAGCTTTTGGGTTGATCCTCAGGTCCTCTTTCTACTGTATGGAAAGAATGGCTTAAGTGGTGTGTTGAGTTTGGCATTGAGGCTAATGCAATCGTCGCTGTCCCGTACGATTGGAGATTGTCACCAACCAAATTGGAAGAGCGTGATCTCTACTTTCACAAGCTCAAGTTAGTCCTCACCATGCTTATGTATTTTTTCCTTTCTCTGTTTTTATTTATTGTAAGATAAGCGAAGAACTCTGTTCTTCTTCTTTTCTTTTTGCAGGTTGACTTTTGAAACTGCTTTGAAGCTCCGTGGCGGTCCTTCTATAGTTTTTGCACATTCTATGGGTAATAATGTCTTCAGATACTTTCTGGAATGGCTGAGGCTAGAAATTGCACCAAAACAATACTTGGGGTGGCTTGATCAGCATATTCATGCTTATTTCGCTGTTGGTACTAGCCAATTACTGTTAAGCTACCATTTTACTTTCTGTCTAAGCTGGAGAGTCTCAATCATGACTAATATCTTCTTCATGTAGGAGCTCCTCTTCTTGGCTCAGTTGATGCAATCAAATCTACTCTATCTGGTGTAACGTTTGGCCTTCCTATTTCTGAGGTTACCTCTGACTTCCTTTTAGTCTCAAGGAGTTAATATCCACCAGGTCTCATAGTTCACTTTGAAAGTGTTGTTTTTGCTGATCGAGCTACTGTACTCGATATGGTATATGTAGGTTTTGAATTGGCTAGTTATCAACAAACATATGTGGGTAATATGTTTGTCCTAATACAACCGAACTGATGTACAGAGATTTAATTTCCATATTACTGTGGTAGATTCCTAGTTGAGAAGAAGATTTTACTGAGATCTGTAAACTCTATATTCCGGGGTTTGTTTATTAAAATTATGTGAGATATTGACATGCGCCTCTCATGTTTTTTGTTGGCAAGGCTTCAGGGAACTGCTCGATTGTTGTCCAATTCTTTCGCTTCGTCGTTGTGGCTTATGCCATTTTCAAAGAACTGCAAGGGTGATAATACGTTCTGGAAGCATTTTTCTGGTGGTGCTGCAAAGAAAGATAAGCGTGTATACCACTGTACTGAGGAGGAATATGAATCACAATATTCGGGGTGGCCGACGAATATCATCAACATTGAAATTCCTTCCACTAACAGTAAGACTTGGTATATCATCTGTTCATTCTCATATCTCGGTTGTTTTATTCAACACAAATCATTTGTTTAGGCAGTGATGCGTATCCGTCAGTTACAGAAGCAGTTCAAGCCAACATGACCAACATGGAATGTGGTCTTCCCACTCTATTGTCTTTCACAGCCCGTGAACTGGCAGATGGGTCTCTTTTCGAAGCAATTAAAGACTATGACCCGGATAGCAAGAGGATGTTACACCAGTTAAAGAAGTAAGTACATTTTTCTTTGATGACGAGTATTTCTCATTACTTCATTAGTCATCACTTGTTGGCTCTTTGTACTTCAAGTATTTTTTTTGTGTAGATCGTTATATCAACTGTACATATGCTTTATCCTTCTTAATATGATAGAAAAATGTGAACAGAATTTTTAGTTTTGACATTCAATGGTGCTCTCTAATTAACCTTATGGAATATCTATGCTGCCTGCTGTTATGAAATAAAAGAATGTATTTCAGATTGATTTTCACATTGAACATTTATGCTTTGTGTAGTTTATTTAGACTCGGCATGGACTAACATATCAAATTTATTTGCAAGTCTTCAAAGAAAAAAATATATAACATGCTAATTATATTTTATAGGTTGTATCATGATGACCCTGTTATGAATCCTCTGACTCCTTGGGAGAGACCACCTATAAAAAATGTGTTTTGCATATATGGTACTCATCTAAAGACAGAGGTATGACTACATTCTCCCAAATGACTTAGTGTGTCTGCTCTGTAATTACATTCGCTGCTTTGTTTTGCAATATTTTTCTGTTTGTGCTTTTGTCTTCTCCGTTGCATCTTAAGCAACGTTAAAGATACTAAACTTATGAAGATGTATTAGGTTGGTTATTACTTTGCCCCAAGTGGCAAACCTTACCCTGATAATTGGATCATTACGGATATCATTTACGAAACTGAAGGTTCCCTCGTATCAAGGTAATTCTCGCAATGGCAACAAGTAAAACTAAACGCAAGGCTCTATGTCTCATTCTAGTAGAGTATTATTTCATTTCCATCAGAAAGGCGTTACATAACTAAAAATTTCAGTAGTGTTTCTTTACCTTTAGTGGATGATCAGTGGGTACTAGAGGGAGAGGTGTGAAATCCTTACATAAAAAAAATATCAATAAATATGACTGTCCATAGAAAATTAGCTAAGTTCTGAATTAAGAGTAGTCTTCTTTTTCTTATACTTTTTGCTTTTAGAAACCGTAGACTAGCTCACATCTTCACGCTGCAATATCTTCAGGTCTGGAACTGTAGTTGATGGGAACGCTGGACCTATAGCTGGGGATGAGACGGTAATCACAGAAGATGTGTATTATACTGCATGTTATGTATTATACTGCTTCTGGATGACTGCATGTTTTGTATTATACGGCCCTCTCCATAATTTCTATTCATAATCAAAATTATCTGTTATAGGTACCTTATCATTCACTCTCTTGGTGCAAGAACTGGCTCGGACCTAAAGTCAACGTAACAATGGCTCCCCAGGTACTCTTGTCTAGTTCCCCACCGCAAGACGCAGTGTGTCTTGTAAAATTTTCTATCTTCCACTTAAAACTTTCTATATCTCGAATTGCATAGATAATCTATAAAATTCATTTTAGTCGCCAACAGTTTCTATATATCCGTATACATAACTGAAAGAGATTTTCATTGAAAAACAACAGCCAGAACACGATGGAAGTGATGTACATGTGGAATTAGATGTTGAACATGAGCATGGGTCAGACATCATAGTGAACATGACAAAAGCACCGAGGGTTAAGTACATAACCTTCTATGAAGACTCTGAGAGCATTCCAGGAAAGAGGACTGCAGTGTGGGAGCTTGATAAAAGTGAGTAACAAACATATCAGTTTTGAGTTATCAAAGTATCATGCATTGGTTTTTGTTTGTGACTAGTTATCTTTGTGCAGCAAATCACAGGAACATTGTTAGATCCCCGGTTCTAATGCGGGAGTTATGGCTTCAGATGTGGCATGACATTCAGCCTGGTGCAACGTCCAAGTTTGTCACTAAAGGTAACACAAATATTATTGGCTATTCTATTGCTTTTGGGTTTGAACATAAATACCGTGTTTCACAGCCAAACGCGGGCCACTTAGAGATGCGGATTGCTACTGGGATTACGGGAAAGCCTGCTGTGCTTGGCAAGAATACTGTGAATACAGGTTCCCACTGTACTCTTTCATCCGAAGTTTCATAACTGTAATTCGGAAATCATTAACTTTACTGATTTGGTTTGTTGCTATATATCGTGAAACCTGATGCAGATACAGTTTTGGGGATGTTCACTTAGGACAAAGTTGTAGGTTGAGGAACACATCCGCGAATATGCTGCTCCAGTACATATAGATTCCCTCCTTCAGGTCTCAGTAATTCACTTTTCTTTCTCACGTTCCAAGTATCTTTCAGATTTTATACCAAAACGTTATTTTCAAATTCAACTGAGTTTTTTTTCCTCTGCACAGCAAAGGACCATTCCTTCCTACCCATTTTTCAAAACGTTCAATTCTTATTGCTCTTTATCTTTCTACATTTTTTTGCCTTCTCACGCAAAGGTATTCTTTTGTGATTTTATATTCGTTCTCTTATGAGCATATGCTATTTTGGTTACTGATAGAGTTAAGTACTACTTTGCAATTTACATCCAAGGTAGTTAAATACGTATTAAATGTATATTTGCTAACTACATCTGCTTTTCGTGTTTACAAAACCTCTTACGTTTCCGGTTGCGTTTGAGTTCTCAAGTGCTTGATTGTTTCAAATGCAAGCATTTGAGTTGGCACTCAGTCATAAACACGCTATTCTTTTATATAATTCTTATATCTTTATGTATGTTATACAACCAAAAATTACTTTTAAAAAAGTTTAACCACAATAGGACAAAGTCATTGTATATAAATCATATAAACAAGAGAATGTGTGAAATTTTTACTAATTATGGGTTTTACGTTTTTGATAAGAAACTAAGAATGGGAAAAAGAGTAATTAGGTGGGGGAATTAAAAGTGCTCAGTGGTTAGATGGTTTGGTTGAACATGAGTTTTGAACTTTTTATACGAGTCTATACTTTATATATCGAAATTAAATGTTTTGTCAATTTTATGGTCCCTCTCAAACTGGGGTCCTTTATGTATTTTTTTATTTTATTTTCCCCCTTATAGACATGCATTATTTTCGTGTAATTAATATTCGTTCAGTTTTGTTTTTGGTTATAAGTATGGCATTCTTCTTCCATTTAGATGTATGAAAGGTGGCAAACTTAATGCCAAACTATCCAACACCCAACAAATGCATAACCTCAACTCTACTAAAATAATTTCTCTTATAGTTCTTTTGTTGTTGTTTAATCGCTCTTTGTTAGTTATGCAAGAATAAAGGTAACAGTTGTATGAAATCTGAGCGACTTGTATATCTCCATGCCATTTTTCTGTTTTCATCATTGGTGCTGACAGTTCAATAGTATTAACTTCTTCCTATAGGTCTAAATAAGATAAATAAGGACTTATTTCCTGTGTGATTTTTTTATTTTTGCTAATAATTTTCCTGTGTGATTTTTTTTGCTAATAAATTTCATAGTAGCTATACCTACTTGTCAATTGATTGAGGTTGGGTATTGTGTTTATTAGTCACAATAGTAAGTGGTTTTTCCTATAACAGGACTGATTATATTATAAAAAGACAAACTAGTTAGAAAATATACTAGGAATTCAAAATCTACTGTCATTAAAGTGTGAAACCGATAAAAAGGTTTACAGAAAATCGGAATAGTATTTACCAATTTGGTCATTTCTTGAATTCGGTTTCTCTCCATCGTTGAAAAAAATTATAAGGTTTAGGTGCTAATAAATAAATGAAAAGTAAACGAGGAAAAAGTCTTAACATTAATCAATTTTCTTTCTCCCTTCTATTTAGCGTGTTTGCGCGTCTCTTCATTTGCATATAGCCACAAATAGAAAGTGAGAGTTTCGATTTTGTGTTATAAAGGTTGCAAGGCTTGGTTGATGAAATTTAATAGGTGTATAAATGTGGTATGATCAAAAATATACTATATATTATGAATTGAGTTCGTGCTTTGATAAAGCCACATTACCCAGTAACAAATCATTTAGGAAAGACGAACTTCATTCTTACTAGAAAGATAATCATTTATAAATGTGGTATGATCAAAATATATATTTTATGAACTGAGTTCGTGCTTTGATAAAGCCACATTCCCCAGTAACAAGTCATTTAGGAAAGAAGAACTTCATTCTTACTAGAAAGATAATCATTTTGAATATTTATTGGTATTTGAAAATACTTTTTTCATGTGGGATTTAACAAGTAGATTCAGCAATTCCTGTAGTTTCAATATTTTTTTCACCTCTTTTCACAAACTTTATTTTTTATGCAATAAAAATCAGATCTCAGTTAATATACTCCTTGTAAATTTGTAATCCTAGTATGAGACTAACACGTTGAAGAAACGGTAAAGAAAAATAAAGGGTAATCTAGTAAATTCCAACTGAGTGGTACTTTGGTAATTTTATAGAACGTCAAGGGGAATCCAAGCCTTCCCAGCCTCTATAAATCGTCACAACATACCCATTCCCGTGAACTTCTTTTATCCCTTCTCGTTTTCTTTCTCTCTCTATTTCCCTCTCCATTTCTCTCTAGACGCTACGACTTAATTCTCTTCCCCCCCCCTCCCCAAAAAATAAATAAATAAATTCTCAAATTTTCACCCGAAGATTTTGATTTTACTGTTTTACGGCAGTTAATATTTTTTATTGTGTTGGGTGCTGACGTGGCATGCAACCAATTAAAAAACACCATGAACACCAAAACTATGCGTCTTCCGCCACGTCGCGTTCTAACGCCAGACAAGCGCAAAGAAAGAGAAGGCGTTATCTCCTCCGTCGTCCAAAAACCGCCGGAAACCTCCGTGAAAAAGCTTCCTCCGCCGCAGATTGTTAATCGTCCGCCTGTTATATCCAATACAAATAAATCTCTAATCGCAGCCGAGCCGGTCGGCTCGAACCAGCTAATTTTAGCGGGCTACTTGAGTCACGAGTTTCTCACCAACGGCACACTATTCGGGGAGCAATGGGATCCGGCTCGAACCCAAGCCGGTCCGAGCGAGTCGAAGAAGTTGAAGCGGAGCCATATTACTGAGCCGACTGATGAAAATGAGCCGAAACGGAAGACGTATGAGGAGGTTGCTAATCTTCTACGGTCAGACGGGGCCCACCTGCCCGGCATCGTCAATCCTGCCCAACTTGCCCGTTTTCTCAAACTGTGATCGGCGTACACGTGTTGACAGATCATTGGTCTGTCGTTTGGCAAGAAATACAGGTCTAAAACAGGAACCTTTCTTTCTCCCTCTCTCTCTCTATCCATTTTTTTTCTTCTGTCAAATGTTTTTGAATCCTCTATGTAAAGCTGAATCTCGCTCTATCTTCTTCGTCTTCCTCGAGATTGATCGAGAAGAGTTAGGGTTTGTTGTGAGGTAGATGTTCGTGTCTTTGTACATCAGACATATCAACTAGTCAATCGATTAAAATTCTCAAGTTTTAAATTAATTTTGTGAATTTATGATGATATGACGGTGAATCGTATGAATCCGATCCATACATGATGCAAATTTGTGATATATTTTATCCGAATTATTCAATTCCGTGGATGATGATGATGATGATGATGATGATAGTGATCATACATAGAAGATAGGTGGTTGTCTATGTCGTTGCAGTACACAGAATCTCAATGTTGTTTTTTGAGCTTCATAGTTGAAAGGACATGAATCCTTTATGTATTAAGTAAAAAAAAAATAACAGAACATGAAAACACATCTGAATCTTTGGATCCTAAGTGCTTTCTTCGGCCCAATTGTAAGATGCTCTTCATCCACTTTGGTTTATTTGTACTTGACAAATGCCTCCTCCCCCTTCGCCTCTCCAGCACATTCGTCTCTCAGCATAAAACAAAAAAATTATGAGATGTTCTTGCCTATTTTGGCCTCTATATTTGATCATTTCCAGTGTAATATTAGGTGTTGTAGATTCCATTTCAACACACATAATGTAATGAAGTCATGGTCTCTCCCTCATGGCTTACTATATATGTACTGTGCTCTTTAAATATTGCAGAACGTAGCCAATATACGTAGCCTAGTATTTTTTGGCAAATTTTTGATATTCTGGCTCTTGTTATTTAATCTGCTCTTATTATTATTTTACGGGTTGTTAGTCTCTAGACAGAACAATCTAAATATGAGGTCTATTGTTTTGTATTATTATCAATTAGTGGCAAATAATTGATTCTGTTTTTAGTACTGACAACTGCTGCTGATGCTCTTTATACAGTTTTACCAAATTAAGATTACATTACAGCACAAATACATATTAATAAGTTTTAATCCACACTTCAACTACATGTCGTTCACTTAATTAGTTTTTTTAGTTGTTTGTTTAGTATCCGAAAACCAAGAATAAGTTTTTTTTAGCTCTCAATAATCTCTTCTTTCTTCATTTTTTTTGTTAATAAATGAGTTGATTCAGCATTTGCTCGTGGAGACAGAAAGCAACAACAATTGCTCTTAATCGAGCTGAAATGAAAAACTAAAGTAATTTCTTTTTTATTTCCCTTCATTCATTTCTTATATATTTCAGAATAATAATAAACACGTACAGAATATCTTCATGCTTCTTCGTTCTTAGAAACTATTTTGATTTGATTTGGTTTGGCAACTCCATTATGTCGAACTACAAAATGAAGAGCTTCTTGAAGGGCTTTAGGTATATTTCTCAAATATTCGGTGAGTTTATTTTACTTTTGTGAATATATATACTATCTTCTCAGGAACTTATCTTTGCAATAATATACCTTTTAATCAACTTAACTTATAGTATTAATTTTTGTGAAATTTCACAATGTAGAATACGAGAAAGAGCAAGAGATGCAAATCGGAAACCCAACCGATGTAAAACATGTTGCACACATTGGTTGGGATGGAGGCTCTGTCAAAAATCAAAATTCGCCTAGCTGGGTATTTACATGTTTTTCTCTATATTTTCAATATGTTTTGGTATAACTAAATAGCATCATTATAAATAGATTTGAGTTCAATGTAGATGAATGATTTTAAAGCATCGGGTGGATCGCCTCTAGGAAATTATATCATAGAGGATGCCTCTTGCATTTCTGAAGGTAACTCTAATCATATCTTGCTAGCTAGTTGTAGCTTAGTCTAACATATATATATATATATGTTATTTTTTTCTTATAAGTTTAACATGAATATATTTCAATACATTTCTACAAACTAAACATGATATAATGTAGAGTATATATGTTTATGTACGTGCAGATTCAACTCGATCACGTGACATACCAAGATCGTCAAGAGATGGTTCGAACAAAGTGGATTCACCAATAAAAGGACGATCACGACGTGGAACCTTAAATCCTAGTGGGAATCCAAAAACTTCACGGAGATCAAAAGAAACTTGTGATAACCCCTCTAGAAAATCTCGTCGAAAAAGAACTAAAGATAGTGGAAACGGTGGATCGTCAAGATCGTCATGCAGAACACGTGGATCACAGACAGAATCTATAATGTCTGATGCAGAAACAATGATATCAATCTCTAGTGGTGCTTAAAAGTGTACTTGGTCTATAAAAATACCATATAAGCCTTGGTTGGTTACTAGGAAGTTCAAACGTGATATGGGATTCTGAATTTTCTAGAGAGATTATGATTCATATGTCAATCGAGGTGATCTCGGATGTGGATTTATGTTGATGGTTTGTATCTAGTTTTCATCACATACATAAGATATAATCAACAATTTGATTATAGTCATGTTCTAGTCATTTAGTAGTAACGGTGTTAAGAGGTTTACAGACAGTCATTTTTTTAAAAAAAACAAGAAAATAACCTGTCCATTCACAACTAACTAATCTCCAGACGACTAGGGATTAATTAGGATCTTAAGACAGATGATAAATAAGAGAATAAATAATGACTTGCTATCAACCATCGTTTTAATGTTGTTTGTGAATATTTAATTTAAAATAGTTTTAACCTACCTTCATGGTATGCGTGTGCACACGTTCATCCAGTTGCATAAGAAAATAAGGTCTTTCTTCTAGCAACAGAGTTGTGTGTATATATTACTAGCATTTTACCATTTGTCTTGGTCAAGGTCAACAATTAAAAAAAAATCAGAAATATAATCAAACCGAACCGAACCAGACCGGATGAAATCCGCGGTTTACACAATTTTTGAGTCTTCTCCACGGAGAGAGGTTTAAGAGGAGAGAGAGAGAGAGAATCCATAAAATCCGGATTTTTGAATTCAACGAGACTGCGACTCTTAGAAAACGTTACAGAAAGCGACAATCCGATTTCCTCAGTCAGCTTTGTTCCGACCACATCCCCGTATCTTTCATACGAAACCTTCTCGTGGTAATAATAATGTCTACGGCGAGTTTGTATCGGAGGTTCCTTCCCTCTCCACCGGCGATAGATTTCGCTTCTGTTGAAGGCAAGGTGCGTACTCTCTCATGGAAATTGAAATTGAATCTGTACTGCTTTCTTGTGGTTAGAGACGATCATTGATTTGACTTAGAGATTAGATCTGAGTATCTGACTTTTTAGTAAACATCAAGTTTTGTTTTTTTGTTAAAAGAAAAAAAAAATTAGGGTTTTCGGGGGGTTTTAGCTTCATCTGCTGTTAACTGCTTGTGGTTAGAGATATTTTGATTTTGAGTATGTGTATTAGCAAACATCAAAAGATTGTTTTTTTTTCCAAAAAAAATTAAGATAAGTTCATTTGATAATTAACAGTCACTATGAGGACTAAACTCACAACGAGCCTCTCTGTGTCATTGTCTAAGAGTTTGTAAATTTCATCGTTAATGCAGAAAATCTTCAATGAAGCGCTTCAGAAAGGAACCATGGAAGGCTTCTTCAGGCTGATTTCTTATTTTCAGACGCAGTCAGAGCCTGCTTACTGTGGATTAGCTAGTCTTTCCATGGTTTTGAATTCTCTTTCTATTGACCCCGGGAGAAAATGGAAAGGTATCAAATTAATTCACTTTTGGTGCTTACAAGACCATATTTTGTGATGAGTTTGTTGATTTTTTTGTTTGTGTTTTCTTATAGGACCTTGGAGGTGGTTTGATGAATCAATGCTGGAATGTTGCGAGCCTCTTGAGATAGTGAAGGATAAGGGGATTACTTTTGGAAAAGTTGTTTGTTTGGCTCATAGTTCAGGTGCTAAAGTCCAAGCTTTCCGCACTACTCAGAGCACTATTGATGATTTTCGCAAGTATGTGTTGAGATGTTCCACTTCTGATAATTGTCATATGATCTCAACGTATCATAGAGGAGTTTTCAAGCAGGTATTTCTTTTGGCCTAAACTGTGTACCTCTGAAAACTCTTTTATTTCTTGCTATAAAGTTTCATGTTGATTGTGATCTTAATAACTCTGATTGCAGACTGGAACCGGCCATTTTTCACCTATTGGTGGTTATAATGCTGAAAGAGATATGGCTCTGATTCTTGATGTTGCTCGTTTCAAGTATCCTCCTCACTGGATTCCTCTTAAACTTCTTTGGGATGCCATGAACAGTATTGATGACTCAACAGGGAGACATAGAGGGTACACTATCTTTTATTAAGGCTCTAATACTATGATTGAAGTATGTAATTATCTTCTTTCTTACAGAACTGGCTTTTCTGATGTTCTCCTTTACTTTCCAGGTTCATGCTTATATCTAGACCCCACAGAGAACCAGGATTACTCTACACTCTGGTAACTCCAAATTCATAATGTTATCTGTAGTCACCGTTAGTTTGTGTTTAAATCCTTTCACACTCCATGTTGATCCTAATAACGATTTTCACATTATCGTCGAATGGAATTTCAATCACTTTTTAGGTTTTGATGTGAGTGTGAACTTATAAGTGAACATTGTGAGTGAGTGATGACTTCTAGATTATCTATTTCAGAGTTGTAAGGATGAGAGCTGGACCAGCATAGCAAAGTATTTGAAGGAAGATGTTCCTCTTCTTGTAAGCTCGCAACATGTTGATACCATTGAAAAAATTTTAGATGTTGTATTCAAGTCACTTCCGTCAGATTTCAACCAATTTATCAGATGGATGGCTGAGATTCGAAGAACAGAGGATATAAACCAAAATCTCAGCTCAGAAGAGGAATCAAGGCTCGACCTAAAGGTAATCTCTTGTTGATTTTCTTTATCAACTCAGTTTTCCGCGTATATATCCCACCAATGAATCCATTAATTTTTTCTATGGTTCGTTATACTGTAGCAAGAGTTGCTGAAACAAGTGCAGGAGACTGAACTGTTCATGCACGTGGATAAGTTTCTATTCTCTGTGGGCTACGAAGACAATCAGCCATATGTTCCTGCCAAGGCTGGTTCTCAAGGATTCAAAAACTTATCTGAACTGGAATCAGATGAGTCGTGTTGTTCGAAAACCTGTGTGAAATGCATCAAAGGTATGTTTGTTCTTGAACTTGGGGGTTATCTTGTTAACACGAACGACAATTCCCTTAGGGATCATGACAGGGAACCATGTCCAGTGATGATGTCTCCATAAATTGAGTTGTGACCTGTGATTTATATAACTGGGTAGATTTCAGGAAAAGTTGGTTTGTACAAAATTTTAAATTTGTTTTATTGTTTTACATCAAAGGTGTTGGTGAGGAGAAAGTGAAGGGTGTAGCTTACCCATCGGGAAATGATGTGTTCACTGCTCTTCTATTGGCTTTACCTCCACAGACATGGTCAGGTATCAAAGACCAATCACTTTTGCAAGAGATGAAACAGCTCATTTCCATGGTTAGCTTCCCAACTCTGCTTCAACAAGAGGTAAAAATAACTAAGCCAACTTAAAAAATTCTTGTTTTTAGTGTCGTTAAAAAGGCCTTTTAAGATCTTCTAATTCTGAGAATTGCCTCATGAAGCTTTCGTTTTCTATGGTATTGGTTACACAGGTGTTGCATCTACGACGCCAGCTTCAGCTGCTAAAACGGTGCCAAGAGAATAAAGAAGACGAAGATCTCTCTGCTCCTGCCTTAATATAAAACAACACTAATTACTCTCATTTTTTTCTCAACGACCAACGAAACCTTAAGGAACCGTTGAATATCTAATTTATCACTTATGTGTCCGCACAATATTATCCTCCTTACGGTCTCATGCGAGATTTGTTTGAATCATGTAAAGGCTATGTCCTAACTATATTATATATCACCATCACATTTCTACGGTCTCATTCTTTTGCCACTACAATCTGAACTTACCTTAAATAACTGTACTTTTACCATTCTTTGGAATGGTTCCTGCTTAGAGACCTCGATGATGATGGTTTACGTTTCTCATCGTTAGTCATTAATTACTATGTATAACGTTATAATTTTAAGCTTCTTTATAATATTTATAACTCAATGAACAACAAAGTCGTTGTAGTATAGTGGTAAGTATTCCCGCCTGTCACGCGGGTGACCCGGGTTCGATCCCGGCAACGGCGAACTTTTTATATTTTTCCTTGTTAAAATCTTATTGGGTTTGTTGCCTGAACTTGGAAAATATCAATGCCAGTTTCCCATACTCTATCAGGCCCAGAAAAGCCCAACACCTCAGAATTATTCTTGTAGTCCTTAGGCTAGTTTTTGTTTGTATAAAGACTGTTCTTACACACTTCTACTCCTTGATTTGCATTCTATACATATCTATATGCCAATAGTGTCATAACCAACAAAAACAACTGTTTTACAGTATATGAATCGTTTGTACTATATATCTCAAACACAGATTCTCTTCAAGTTTAACTTATCTTCGTTTGTATATATAAATCTCTTTATTTTACAAAGTTGTCATGATTTACGAAGGGAGAGAAGCTCGAAGCTCCTCCTTAAAGGATCTTCCCTTGTGTTTATAGCACCACGTGAAAGAGTCGAACTCTTCTTTGAATCATATCCTCCTCCTCCTTGCATTCTCTGGCTCGTTGAGGCCTTTCCATCACCGCTGCTTGAAGTCACCAAACGGCTAGAGGATCTGCTATCACTCCTCGTTCCTCCAGTAGAACTTGGACGAGAGCTTGAAGCTATTGCTCTCCTTGAAGAGCTTCCGTTTCTTGACGAACTGCCTCTTCTCTCTGACTCACCACCACTCACCTGTTAGAAACATACAAAGCGACTATGAGAAGTTTTTGCAATGTTTTTTTTTTCTAAAAAAAAAAGTAAACTAAAGGGTTCTTACAGGCACGTCGTCAGAGTTTCTTGATGTAGAGCGATCACGTGGTGTTACATGTCTTCTTGAGAAAGCTTCAACCGCTCCTGATAACCTATTGCTACCAGTTCTCTCTGGTTTTTCAGTGGTTAACTCCGGTTTTGCAGTTGTATGATCCTGGAACAACACACAAATAGGCTTTAAACCCCACGAAAACTAACATATAACATCAAACCCCATTAAACTATGACCTCGTGCTATATTGAAATTATAAATTTATTTCTATATTGAAATAAGAAAGAGAAAGATCAAAAGAGAGGGTGTGAAGGGATTGATTTACCCGTGTTCTGGAACTAGAACTGGAGGTGGAATCAGTTTGTGGATGCTGCTTCAGAACTGTCCAGTCAAATATATAATCAAACTGATAACCTGTGCCATTGTAAAAAAAAACAAAGGAAGAGTAATATTAAGAAACTGGAGATACAAAAAGGTTACTTAGTAGAACAAGAGTGTGTAGTAAGAAACACCTTCTCGGATAAACAAGTCACGGAATAGCCTCTTGAGGTAAGAGTAATCAGGTTTATCATCAAACCGTAGAGACCGGCAGTAACGGAAGTAAGAAACAAACTCAGACGGTTGGTTTCTGCACAAGACCTGTTCGTCAACATCAAATGCTTTAAGTCTTTACAAGCTTAGAGAAAAAGAAAAAAACATTAATGTGGCAGATGTTCACATACCTCAATAGGAGTTGAGACTTTCTTCTCACTTATTCTGTCATACTTCTGCTTCCTTGTCCCAGCTTTTAATCCCTGCCATGGTAAGCTGAAACAAATACAATACAAACACAAGTCAGGATTTAACATTTGTTGTTACAGATAGTGAAAGAGTTACAAAAGATTGGTAAGAAAGCTGTAAGAGTCTTCTTACCTTCCTTTGAGGAAGTACATAAGCACATAACCAACTGCTTCCAAATCGTCTCTTCGGCTTTGTTCTTTTGACAAGACACATGCAAGTATCAGACCTGGATACAAGATGGAGTTCTCATATAGATTCAATAGGAAGAAACACTTACCTACTCCAAGGTGTGTGTTGACACTTGCATACCGAGCTGTTCCAGTGAGGTTTTTGTTTTCTCTGCCCCCATAAAATTTGAATATGTTACTCTTAAGCTACACTACAATAAGAACAGATGCATGGACTATGAAATAACCTTTTTACCTGTAAGGAATGTGCCTGTGAGTCTGAAGGTCTCTGTATTTCTTCCCCAATCCAAAATCAATTATATAAACCTATGGTATCAGAAAAGCAAGTATCTCAATCAAACTTTGCTACTAAGAAGTTCACAGTCAAGAGCAGTCAGCACACCAAAATCTCTGAGATGATACCTGATTTGCTTTGCGTCCGAGGCCCATTAGGAAGTTGTCAGGCTTAATATCACGGTGAAGGAAACCTCTGGTGTGCATATATTCGACTCTGTTAATCTGAAACCATTGAAAAGATGACATTAAGAAGATGTTTTTGGACTATGGATGAAAGAAATATTGTGAATGTGTACTGCTCACAAGTTGATCAGCAAGCATGAGAACGGTTTTCAAAGAGAGTTTTCGGTTGCAGTAGTTAAACAAGTCTTCAAGACTAGGACCTAGAAGGTCAATAACCATCACATTGTATTCTCCATCAACTCCATACCACTTGATGTTAGGAATACCACCTTCAACAAAAAGCAGAAGAAGAACAAATGTTAGGATGAATAAAAGTCTGTCAATGAATTGTAACTAGAAATTCAATTTAGAGAAAGAGACTTTACTTCCTCCTTGAAGCAACATATACAACTTGGACTCATAGTGAAGCTGGGGATGCTTGGTCTTGACAGATTCCTGAGAAAAGGAAACAAAAGCATCAAAATCAAAAGGCCAATTCAAAGCAAACAAGAGAGAATCAAAATCAATTAATTCTTGCCATTAGTGTTATAATAACAAAAGTCATCATCAAACACTATCTATCAATAAAAAAGAGCTTGATTACCAGCTTAACAGCAACTTCTTCTCCAGTTTGGACATTTACACCTGCAACAAGAATTAAAACCTGAAGATTCCAACAATGAGATAAAAACCAAAAAAAAAAATTGTTCTTTTGTTTCTTACCAAGATAGAGCTCTCCAAAGGATCCACTGCCAATTTTTCTGCCAAGTTTAAATTTCCCACCAATTACAAGATCCATGCTTTCTCTCTAACAAAGCAAAAAGTCTCAGACTTTTTTTCTCAAATTCAGACACCTCTCTCAGAGAGACATAACATAACTGCTTTCTTGTTTGTTTATGCTATCAACGACGACAAACCCTCGTGGGGTGAAATCTCGAATCGAATCCCAAGTGAAAACGATGATACACAATTTTTTAAAAAAAATCATTAAAAGGGGGCCCCGCAAAGCTCTTAATGTCTTAATGTAAACGCAAATCGGTTAGCGATTGAAACTCTGGTTTGATCAGGATTCAAACTTCCTCATAAAACGTAAAACTCGTCAACTTTTACCTGGATTTGACCGGGCAAAGTTGGCAAAACGTCACTGTTTCGGTAATAACAATTATTTTTTATCAGTACAAATAAGTTTGGAATAATTACAGAATTTTTGGGACACTTATGAGCTGTCATTGGCTTTTGTTTTCTCTCACTCGGATTATTTTAGGACATTGTCATTTTCTCCAAAACAGAAAATTAGATATAAATTTTCACTAATCATCTGTCTGTCGGCATATATTATTTTATTTATTTAAATCTATATTCCTTGCTGCTTTTATTTAATTACTTTGTTCTATGAAATTACATTGATACGGAATGTATTTGCAATTATTTGACTTCCAACCAAGTTCAGTTTACTGTAATCGTGTGTCGTTCCGAGCCAGCATTGCCTCTGGCGTGTCCCATGATGACTCTGAATCTGACTCCCTCTCTGGATTTGGTAAATATCTTCTACTCCACTAGTGACCGCTACTTCAGGTACCAACATATATAATCTTTTTATAAAACATTATATGACGTTGAGATCTCAACCTACAGACATCATAACATAACTCTCTTCGTGTCTCGTCAACCAGACAACCAGAACTCACATTCATGTCTACACCAACTTCTTCACGTAAAACTAATACCTTTCACCTAAAAGTACTCAAAGATTCACCAACTCCTGATTTGGTTCCAATGATCAACATCACTGTTTGTTAAAGATCATCATAAACATTTAAAGATTTCAAACTTATGTTGACATAACTGATTTAAATGAAAATTGTCCAACAAAATTCTATGTATTACCCCTTTGTTACAAAAAAAGGTTTAATAAAACATCAACCAAAGTATTACAACTGCGAACATCGTATTCTTCGACCAAACTCCGATCAGTCTATCGCCTGTAACGATGTCGTTTAAAGTTGATGTACAAATGCAGAATCCCACGCTCAAACGTGCATTTGAAACCCTTCTTGTGAGAATACTCCCACTCTTTATTCACAATCCGGAACGCCTGCAAAACAAAAACATACTTAATCAACACCATGATAACACAGATGCATGTAATGATGAAACAAAACCAGAGGCGATGATGGTTCTGAGTACTTACAATGTCTTCATAAGGAGGACCAGCATGGAACCGGATCATACAAGTTTCAGCACTTGTCCCATCTTTTTCTATAGTGTAAATGGGAGCTTTGATCTTGTCTACTAAATCCGGGTAGAAGATGTTAAACTTGTACCCTTGAACGATCTTAGGAGGCGGGTTGTCGTGATCATAATGCGTTTGGTTATACTTATTCCACTCGTAACCTGTGTGAACTCTGTTGAAATACTTTGGCTTTCTTGGCCGGTACTTGTCATGCCACCAGTATACCTATAAGGAGATGAAGTTTTTGAATATTTTCACTCTGAGAAGGATAATATAATAGATTAAAGGATGGAGAAGAGGGGGTACCTCAGAATCAAGGTTCACTTCAGCATTAGAGCCAAATACAGCATCACCTTCCTCCATAGCTCCCATTGCTTTCATTGCTTTAACCTTAAAGTTATCTTCTACAGGTGCTGGTTTTGAGTCCATAGCTTCTTTAATCCGCTTCTTCTGTTTCTCCAACACAACCATCCGCTTCATTTCCTGTTATAGCCACAAATCATATTTTAGGTCAGGAAAAAAAGCATCAACCACAACAATTCATGGGCAGATGGTAGGGACAGTTAAGGAGTACCAGTAGCTTCTTGTCTTCCACGGGATCGATTGCTTCTTCACGATCATCACCGTGCATGAGCTCTGGCGAAAATGAACCAGCCTCTTCTGCTTCCACATCAGCTTCTTCTTCCTCCTCCATGATAGGCTCCGGAGAGAATGCTTCTTCAGCATCTGGAAGATTTGCATCGTTCATCTCCTCCTCGTTTTCTTCCATCACAGGTGCTAAGCGATGATTAACTCCTACATCTTCTTCATCACCCTCTTGCTCGAGGCGATGTAGATGTCTCCTCAGCATCTCAGAGTGTATTTCCTTCAAGCAAGCCTATTAAACATCAAGATAGTCAGTTAGTATGCAAAAAAAAAAAAAAAAAAAAAAATCCTCTGTTC